GGGGTCGCGGGGCAGGCGGGACCGAGAGGGCCTCGATCCGCGGCCCCGACGCGCGGCGCCCCGGGGAGACCGCGTGGGCGGAGAAGAGAGAGGGGGCGCCGCGGCTCCCCTCGCGCGCAGCGTCCCGCCCACGCCCACGGGGCTCGTTACCGCGATTGCGGGGTTGCGACTTCCCGTCGCCGTGGAGACGGGCGGAACCGTGACTCTCCCGCGAGGTGCGCGCTTTGCGCCCCGATGCTCGTCCCCACCTACCTGCCTCCGGGTGGCGCCCGTGCGAAGGGGGGATGAGCCGAGTGAGGGTCGGGAGCCCGCGTGGAGGCGGCCGGCCTGCGGGGAGCTGGTGGGGACAGAGCTGCCCTCGGCCCCCTTACCCGGGGGGGTGCTAAATCTTGGAAATGATTTCAAGGCAGCGGGCAGACGACGCGCTGTGTTGTGTTGCAGCCTCGGCCTTATGGGCACATTCAGAAAAGCGCCCGGGACCCCTAGGTGGGAGCATTTTGGACTTCTAGATACAGATTGTCCGGAAGAACAGATGAGGTACCAGCCAGCCCCTGGGAGGGGCTGGAACAGGTGAGTCTGAGCTGAGGGCTCCACCAAGAACACTGCAGTTTCCTTTACATGAGGAGGTCCTCTGGGAATATGCACTTTTTAAAAATATTTTTTATTGATTTTAGAGAGAGAGGAAGGGAGAGGGGGAGAGAGAGAAACATCAGTGATGAGAGAGTCATTGATCGGCTCCTCCTGCACGTCCCCTGCTGGGGATCGAGCCGGCAACCCGGGCCTGTGCCTTGACCTGGGAATCCAACCAGACCTCCTGGTTCGTGGGTCAACGCGCAACCACTGAGCCACACCAGCTGGCGAGAATATTCACTTTTTGAAGTATTGAGAATAAAGCTGGTGTCGAGCATCCTGAAGGGGTTTCGGGCAAAGTGCATAGAATATCCTGGAAGATAACCTACAGTGCCTGGTGGAATTTTCTGGAAGCCCTGTGACATAGGAATAGGACTCATAGGTACAGACTGTCCCGAAGAACAGAATTTTCTGATGTCTGTGTCCCCTTCCCAGTGCCGGGAACACATGGAAGAGCAGCAGGTGTGGGGCAGCAGGAGCAAGATGCCTCTTTGCCACTCTCACCTGCCTCCTCCTGTCAGTGACCTCATGCTGGCTTGTCCACCATTTGGTGGCCTCCACAGATCCCTACTGAGACACAAGGACAGCTTCTAAGATTTGTAAGGGCTGGAGGGAGACTCTCTTTAGACATGAGTGCTACCCTGAGACTCAAAGGCTAAAGGCTTGGAAAGAACTGAGCATTGAACTGGGAGCTGGTTTTCTAGGTGTTTAAATAGATGATGCTGATTCTTAGGAACTTCTGCCCAGATCTGAGAAATATGAGCAATGTTCATCTCAGGTGCATTTCTCTGAGCTATGATGGACATCTAGGATGTGTCAGTTTAAGTGCACAGCATGACGATTTCATACACATACAGATCATGAAGTGATCACCACTGTAAGTTTCGTTAACACCTCCATCAGCTCACATGGTTACATTTTTTGATGTTGTGAGAACATGGAAGATCTACTCTCTTAGCAACTTTCAAGTCTACAGTACAGTATTCTTACTACAATCAACATGCTCTACATCACATCTCCTGACTTGTTCATTTTACAGCTGGAGTTTCTTTAAAATTTCTATCCATTGATTCGAGAGAGAGAGAGGAGGGGGAGAGGCGGGGGGGACATCGATCTGCTGCTCCACCCATCCATGCACGCACTGGTTGACTTCTGGAAATGCCCCCACCAGGGATGGAACCCGCAACCCCAGCATATCGGGACGATACTCAGCCAACTGAGCTACCCAGCCGGGGCTATAGCTAGACATTT